GGGGAAGGAAAAGGAGTTCGAAAGCCACTCTGAGACACCTTTGGGTAGTGAAGGGCGGGGTAGAAATCCAATCTCCTCCTCTTCTTTTACCTCACAGGGTGTCTGTTGTGGGGAGGGGAATGGAAAAGAGTTTGTAAGCCGCTCCTTTGGGTCGTGAAGGGCGGGGAATAAATCCATCTTCTTTTATCTCACAGGGTGTCTGTTGTGGGGAGGGGAAGGGAAACGAGTTTGTAAGCCACTCTGAGACACCTTTGGGTAGCGACGGGCGGGGTATAAATCCAATCTCCTCTTCTCCTTCTTCTTCATGATACACAAACTCTATTCTCTCCTGCTATTTTGCATCAAAACTTCCTTGCAGAACAGGCAGCAGCTAAGAGAATAAGCTGGAATTTTGCTACTCCTCTGTCCCTGACCTCTTTTACTACCTAGCTCAAGACTCCCGTGAAGCCAGGCTCCTGTTTGAAGGAGGGACAAGACACTGGAAAGCAATCCTGTCCCATATCTCTAGGAGCCACACATCCAAGGCCCGAACAGAGACTCCAGCAGAGATACCTCTGGGATTCTCAAAATCCCTCAGGATACTCCAGAATCCGAAGCATGGAACACAAGAGAGAAGATTCTGGAAACCCTGTGGCACATGTCAAGCAGGGGCCCCCTACGCCCACTTTGGGGACTGATCAGCCAGATAGGACTGGAGCCACCCGAGGATGGTGCCCCCATTTACCATCTTGGCTACCCGGCAGAGAAGGATACCACTGTCTACGGTATCGATGGAGGGTCAGCAGAGAGACCTCCCTCTCGCTTTCCCAGCACAGGGCTCCCCTCACAGCCACTGATGCAATTCCATAAAGCAAGAATACTTCTATAGGACTGAAAAGAAACAAACAGCTTTAGGAATTACATTGTAAGAGCAGACATATTGCCTAAAATAAAGCCTAGAGTAGACTTCAAAGGACATTTCAAATGTGGGAATTGTTCCATCTGTGAAAACTGTTGGGAAGACAATTTATACACCCTAGTGCAGTGATGGCGAACCTTTTAGAGACCGGGTGCCCAAACTGCAACCCAAACCCC